TTTTTTTTTTTTTTGCGAATAGACACTCTTATTAAAAACTGCTTTCCGTCGCTTATCATGTTGACATAAAATTTTATTTGTTTATGCGTACCTGATTACTAGCAAGTCTTCGTTGCGTCATACTTAAGTGCCGTTATCAATCATTCAGACTTGCAGTTTTATTACCCGGTCAATTATAATTAAAAACGTAAAATTTCATATGAGTTTGGCAAAAATAAAAGCTGTCTTGACTAGTCAAATATAAATCATATATATAAATTACATTGTGAATCTCATATTAATGGCTGTCATAAATCTGGTATCTGTTATTGTGAACTGGTCGGTTCTTTGACATTGCCATTTGACATTGAGCCGCCGCACCTCGACAGAATGCAAACACTTAGATAATCATTTAATGTGACAAATACCACTTCGGCCTATCCTTTTACTTGTCCTTGACAGACAACAAAAGCGTCATCAGTAAACACCTTTGTTGTTTCTGATCAAAGTCAATTTTCGATGTCTTTACGGTGTGTGTATTTGAGTGAGTGTGCGTTTGTGTGCGCGCGTATGTGTGTGTGCACTTTTTTATTCTATCTTTATTTTATATTATTTCTCTTTTGCAAATTTTGATGCGATCAAGATCACCGGCGAACACAACTGTCCTTGCGGCGTTATCAACTGTTGTCAGACCTCACGCAACCAGCCGATGTGTCCCTATTCATAACCATACGACTTGCGTGCACGCGTGCGATTGTCGGACTCAGTACAGTATTTTAAGTGTAGATATATGTAAGCTAGAAGGGAGGTAAATTTATCAAAACCACATGAACCGTTTTAAACCACAGCGGCTTAAATGCATATCCATTTTTTTAAATATACAACGACGGTTTTAAAAGAAATAGAAAATAATTGTCTCAAAATCAATTTTATGTAAGGTATCTTATCTGGGATTTTTATGCCAAATCGAATATTCCTTGAAAGAAAATCAATTTCTACTACCTCTTCTTCTGTAGTTAGATCATACATTGTAAGTAGAAGTCGGCAACTTTGGCTTACTCGATTTTTGGATTTCTGAGTACCTTATATAGCTTACAATAGAGTGTGTCAACAATGAAGACAGCATTTCTCCCTAATTCCTGCTCCTCCTCCAAGAAGATGAGGAGGAGGATGAAGAGTTAGTGAGGTGTAGGGAAGAACAAGAAGAGGAGGAGGTGTACGGAAGAGGAAGTACACCCTCCGTCCTTCCTCCTCCTCCTCCTCCCTAGCTCCTCCTCCTTCTCCCTACCCCCCTCCTCCAAGAAGATGAGGAAGAGGAAAAAAAGTAAGTGAAACACTCTATTATAAGCTATAAGGTACTCAGAAATCCAAAAATCGAGTACGCCAAAGTTGCCCACTTCTACTATTGTAAACATGACTGGCTATAACTAATGAATGATAACGGCAACAGATACCGGCTCGAGCCAGTTTCATCTCGTAAAAATGTACCTGTCTCGAAAGGCAGTGACCCAATTAACTTTCGACAACACGTTTGTGTTGAAATACTAAACCTTGAGGCCATTGGAAATAAAATCCAATTTTGTTTGGAGGATTTGTATACCTCGAGTTTTTTCTAACAGCTAAAACACCAACGAAAGAAAAACACAGCATGTAAGGCGATTGAAGTCGCTTGTATTTATGAACCACGACTGATTTACTTACGGTTTTGAATTGCTTAGTAGACTAGAAAATGTTTTGTCGAGAAGGTTGATTACAATAATGAGAAGTATGTCGCAAACTTGATAGCATGTGTTGACTTTTGATAAAACATTTGAGAACATTCTGTTTATCTACCAAGGCCAGACACAATACATATACCTGAGTATAGCAGTAGTGCATTCGCACCTTGACTTTAAAAAAACATGTTCACCTCGCTGCGTTTGGATCTTCTGCACGCAGCGCCAATTTTTTGAAAAGCTAAGGGTGGAGATTGGGTGGGGGTGGGGGGGGGGGATGGGGAGTTCCCTTTGCGCACCTATCGCATAAGCTTATTTATGCGTTAAAAAAGACATTTTATTTCGAAAGAGTGCTTCAGTGACTGATTCTTACTGAAATCTGGATGAATATTCAGGGATGGCGTTTAAAAAACTATATTACTATACTATATGTGACTTTTATCAAATGAAATTAGTCTATCTAACCATATATAACCATGGAAAAAAAGATATAAAAAAGGATATATTCCGGTGTTTTAAAAGTTTTTCTAGGTGTCCTATTGCTTAATCTCTCGTATAACCTAATGGCTAGATTTTTGGGTGAAAACATCATTTTCGGTGAACAAATCCAACAGAAATGCGTACATACTGTATGTGCCTGAAACGAAATACTATACTCTCACAGATTTTTGACAAAAGTTAGGAAGAAAACGCTAACATAGTTCTCACAACGTATAATTACTATCCTTACCACCAGATCCCGAGGACGTGCCCCCGCCCCTGCCGCTCCCGGCAGCGTATCCCTGGCCGGAGGATAGCACTTTGCCTGTCCTTCCTATGGTCAATGACCCCGTGGACCGAAGACTAACGATATGTCCAGTGTCCAGCTGGTCACTTAGAAACCATACTGTCCCATCGATATTAATATCATTGAAAACGTGCACTCCAGGGTGTAGGTTGCATGAGCTCCCAGCGGCTACCACGAGTCGTCCTTCTCCATCCTCTGCACATGTTAACCCATTTGTCAGCCGTGTTAATCCGCAAAGTAAAACGCAGAAAAAAACCAATATCTGCGTTTTTTTACTGTTCGCAACTAGTGTCTCCATGGCGAAGTCATCTTCTCGCTGTAATAACCAGGAAGTTTTTTACCAGAAGCTGTCGAACTAGTATTTCAATATTTATCGATAATATTATCCAACGAGGCTAAATAAACAGTAACAATGACATTGCGAAGTTAGATCAATCGTTCTTTATACAACGAACAATTTATCCGCAAATGGGCCGGCCGGGCCTCTCTGCCTCCTTAAAAACCAAACAACACGTGACATTATTATACTTGAAATAAAAAAAAATCCGGGTCGAGTTTTGAGGTGAAGTTGATCTGGATCCGGGTTTATTTACCAATAACAAAACCTACCTTACCTCATTCATCGCTATTGTGTAAGCATTATTAAAACCTGATCACAGTTTTTGTTTTCTTATACAAATGAATTATCAACCGAAGGTCATTAGAACACACTTTGTGGTTATTTAAATTGTTAAAACTGTGCACCTTTGCTTAATAGGTTTACTCGCCTCCTTGGCGTATTCGTTCATGCTTTGTATCAATTATGAATTTCATTTCCCTCAGTCGAATTTCTAAATGAACTCTCGGATCTATATGTGTATTCTCTTATTATATATATACATGCTTTTACTGTTAATGCTGTTTTATTGTTTTCAACTCGATACAATAGTTTTATTGATAAAATGTTCTCTTTCTCTGCCTTAACTTTTCCTATTATATAATACAATTATATTTGCTTTATTATAAAATCATTCATTATCACATAACATCCTTTTACGAAAACCACAGATACAACGAGGTTGAAGGTTATAGAGGCCCCCGCATCTACTGCTGTGGTCCTTCTGTATACTGCAATGTTGAATCATTTAAACCACCAGGACGCACGTAGGAAACAAATTTGAAATGATCGAAAGAGCTTACCATTAAGAAAAAAAATGTACAGCAACGGTTCGATCCCCCCCCCCATCTCCGCTTTCTGCACATATGGCTGACTTGGCTAAAATGGGTGCATTTGTGTGTGTTGGGGGGGGGAGGGGTTTAAGCCCCCCTCCCCCCGACTACTACGTCTATGGGGGCCATTCAGAATAGATGATCCGAGTACTAACTGATCCGCCGACTAAATATGGCCGACCCCACTTCAAAGGGATGCCGCTGATTCCAGATGGATCCCCGCCTCCACACGCGCCATAAAACGGATTAAATCTCGGCTCCAAGGTTTAATTGCTGTAGGCCCCTGCAGCGACGGCGCGTATGGAAGCGGGGAGACCATGGAATTAGCGGCATCGCTTTTGAACTGTGGTTGCCCATATTTAGTCGGCGGATCAGTAAGTACTCGGATCATCCATTCTGAATAAGGCCTATGATAAAGTGCATGGGCAGACAAGAAATGTTGATATATCAATTTTAAAAAAATCCGTTTATGTTAGCAAAGCTTTTGGGGTTAGTTTTGGCTAAACTATAGAGATTTACGTTGGTTTATTGAATGAACGCATTTTAGTTGAATGAAATAGTATACTATCTCTTGTATAACATTATTAAAATACCGTTTTTCTATCCATTGACATCAATTTTGCCATGGAAAATTAACATACAGCCATTCGAAGAAGTGCCATTTTTGATAAAGCCCAACAACTTGTTTATATTATTTTCATAAGAACATGGTGCTGTTCCGTTTTTTGAACCTGTACTGTTCTATTTTATCATTAGAAGAGGTCTAGAGTGATATTGTAGAAAATGAACCTTTAAAAGGGCATTTATCCTACTCTTTCAATTCAATGCAACTCCAATCTGCTGTCACAATAATGTACACTCATTTAACAGATATGCGAGTCCGATTTGTGAGTACACATGATGAAGTCATAAAAGGGGCATTAATCCTACGCTATTTGAATTAGTGACAGAGATTAAGCTGCGACATAGACGCGACGTCGACGATTGCGACGCGCGTTGTGACGTTTCTTTTTTCGTAGCGTGTGATTATGTCGTACATGTTTCCATCGCAACAATTACTCCGAGAATAAGTGATGCGATGACTTCAGTTTCTGACAGACTGAGGGAAATTGACAATTTTCTTGCTCAAGCTAAGAAAGATGAGGAATTTGCAAAACTCAGTAGGGTAAATACATTTAGTCAAATGACCCTAAAGTTCAGTATATTTACTTGAGAGTAAATAAGCAGGGTCCGCGAAGAGGATGGCTTTCTAATCGGGAGTCACTCATTGATGTATATCTTATATGGCTTATTTTAATAACGAAAACGACTGCATATTTTCCACATGCATATTCAACATTAGACGAAATGACACGAAATCTACATATTCTTATTGCAGAAACTAGTCAACCTTGAATGTCAATGCCGGGAACTAAATAGCAAATTGAAGGTAAAAATAAAGAATATAATCACTTGCTTAATTTACTTCAGTTAAAGACAGTTATAGGCGTCACTGAAACGCACTATTTGGCATGGTAGGCATGGAGAGTGTAAGCCACATCCATATAATAAAATATGGGCACATATGTTGTTTAAAATGAATATCTGAGATCTTTGTTGTACAGGAGCTCATCAAAGAACAACAGGCGAAGGGCGACACCATACGGCGCCTGCAAAGACATAATCGAGAACAAGTTGATAAAATTGATGACTTGAAACAGGCTAATAGAGACCTCAGGTGGCGAATACAGGAGCACCAAAGAGAAAATCATGTATTAAAAACTGTTCTATACGGAAACTTGTGGAACAAGTAAGAAATGCGTTTATAGAAAATACGATTATTTAGTCTTCCTTACTGTGGATGGAAATAATTTTTGGTTCAAGGTTTTTCATTTTCTCAACTTTGGATAGGTTTTATTTCTGAACACACCTATATAAATTTTGTGTTAATTATGTCTTAGAGGTCCCCCAGGCAGACTGATCAAAACAATGTGGCATATAATCTGGTCAGCCTATGGCGCTTCTTATAGAAAAAAAATAATTGAAAGTAAATATCTGAAAAGTTATGATTAAAAAATGATCCCGAATATAGTTGCGATTGATATCGTTTTACTTCATTTTTTCAGGTGTAAACCCGGAGAACCTTTGCCTTATATGTTTGAATACAGCAAAATATCTTCAGAAGAAAAACTTTCTTCAGATGAAAGCTAATTTATTCAGATTACCGATTCACCACATATTTTCTGCATAATAACTGACGTACAACCAAAACAACCAGTAAAATGTAATGTACAGGCCATGTAAAAAATACTTTGAACCAACTATATATGACACATAATGTTGAAAGTTCAGTAAATGTATACCTTACTGAGATCAAAGGATATCATATTTTAAATAAACTTTCATGCCGTTCTCACAAAGTACCATCTTTATATATTTTTAATAAATAAATTCATCTCCCTTTTAAAAAATACATTTGATGCTTATCGATCTTTTTTTTTGTGACACCAGATGTCCTTATTGGTACTTTATAATATGATAATTGAAATTTGCTAGCAATAATAATATAAAACGTTCTCTACCAATTTCAATTTATTATCATTCCTTGATGAGATACTACACAAGATATCTCAAGAATTAGAACAACTTTTTATCAATTACGGCCATGTGATTCATATGGTATTTGGCTTTCATCGGGTATCTTTACAGTCAGAAAGCATTTCAGGATAAAATTTGCACAAAATCAGCATGTATGATATCATACATCTATGGTTTTTAAATATATTAGTCCAAATCCTCTGAATTCATGACAGAAGCTCTACCACTAGTGCTACTGTTTAGATTAACCTCTGAGGAAAACCCTTCCTCCTCCTCCTCATCTTCACCAAATAAACTCTGCAACAAATTCCCTAAAAGACAATGAAAATCAAAATATAAAAGATCAATGATACAGTGCACATTTTAAATCATGATTTCATATCTGCATTACCACTGATTATTCAAATGAGTATAACTGAAAGCATTATTGAAATAAAACTATGAATATTTCTGCACCCCATTAATATAACATTGTAAGTTAAAAAATGGTTGAATGATCTCTTTTTGTGTCAAAAATCCAAGTTATATCTGTTGAGCTGTGCAACTAGTAGGGAGGACTTCCGAATCTGAGTGATGCAGTCAAAACTGAAAAACACCTTCACAGGTAGATTTTTTGCACAGAAAGGGCTCATACAACCATTTTATTGACACAAATATTCTGCGCCAAAGAACTTAATAAGCTTGTGAATACAAGCTTGGCTATGGACAGTTATCATGACATTCCATGACAGAACCCTTGAGATTTTTTTAGATTACAGTAACCAAATATGAGGCTCAATGAAAGAGAGTTTACTTTTCAATGTCAAAGAAGAATTAACTTACCAAAAACCCCTGGCTGTGTATTTTTCTTGGGTGGAGGTATCCCAAAGAATTGCTGCCCAATCCTGTCCAAGTACTGAAATATCAACACAAATCTGAAGTTCTAACTTGTAGAATAAAAATAAAGAAACAAGTTGAAAGCATAAATAAATAAATATCTTAATATTACACATTTCAAAACACCACACCATATTTTCAAAACTTTTTTCAGTTTTAAACACATTTATATTGGTACAAACTCTTAAGCCACCACTTCATGAAATTTGACATAGATATAAGGTAAGTTTTTTTACGTGTCCAGTAAGTGTTACATCTAATTTATTACCCCTACATGTATAAATTATGCAAGGCTTTAATCAATTTATGACACCTGAGGACACCATGTAATTTAAGGTTATCTATTTATCTTTTTTAGACAGAGCTTAGTTCCTGCATCGAATGGTCTACTGCATTTATGGCAGCCAAACTATGATAAATAGGATGACAATGACAAATCACTTTCACAGTTTCAAAACCCTTGTCCCCTGGATGAAAAAGCATTTTGGCAGCTATATTCATGGGAACAAACACTGGTTCACATAATCACATATAATAAGTGTATTGAAATAAAAAAGAAACCGGAGATATGCCGCCAGACATTCGTTTTCAGATGATACCTGGTGATAGGATTGCTAAGTAAACAAATTAAGATCGAAGAATTGTTATTATAATTCTTTTCAAAACTTCTTTATCTACCCACTTGTTACAGTCACCATAACATTATGTTGTCACAAAAAAATTTGGTAAAATGCAATATCAAAACAGCTATCCCCATTTGTTCTTGACGATGCAATGATAATTTTTAACCTACCTGAAAGTAGCATGGATCCCTGTCTAAACTGAGTTTGTACTGTTCACATAAAACAGTGAAAAAAGCCAATTTTCCACTGAAATTTTAAAGGAAAAAAATTTTAAGAAAGATCCATGTTATTTAATCTCATAAATCAAAACATTTAGCTGAATAACGAAAAAATCAGTTTATCAATAGTTACACAATCTTTCTTTACATTGGTTTAGTAAATATGGTAATAAATAAAAATTAAAATTTCACCTGATATGTTATCCTTAATCTTAAACTTTTACACTTACCCTTCTATGGCCAAAAGTAAAAACCAAAGAAAGTTAAGCAATGGTAATAAATATGGTGGCCCTTTTTTAACTTCTGGATGCTGCCTTGCATATGCATAGAATGTCACTGTAGCCGTGGCTTTATTCTTGAGACAAAGATATCTGGTTGAAAAAAAAAAAAGAAAGAAAGAAACCTAAGATTGCAAACAATCAGACTAAGAGTTATATGCTTTGATAAATATAAATGGGAATAATCTGAGATACTCCAAAGTCTGGCCACTCAATGTAAAATCAACAAAGTTTTTCAGAATTTGGAGGGGAATGGGGTTAGAATATAATGGCAAATTAGTGAGTGCAGTGCAGCTAAAAAAAAAATGAGAATTTATCCACAGATATTTTTTTAGTTTTTTCTTTTAAGTTCTGCCAAATAAGTCCATTCATGACAGTACAAATTAACCTTGTTACTTGTGTGACTACTGTACTGCTTTCTAAGACAACACTCCTTGCGCATAGAATTTTACCCTTATCACAAAAAAAGTTAACCCCTCCTCAGGTGGGTAATTGCACAATTTCTTATGTCACAGAGTCCAAAATTCTCATCTAAGGCTATCCTGAATGATCCCCATTTTAGCCTTAATTAACACAGCTGTCTTCTGACTACCTTCAACAGGCTTTGTTATGCAACACTGCCAAGTGGCACTACAGTTGCCCGTGTTACTCCTTGGAGTTTAGTGGATACCTTCTAACCTTGAACTTTTACTTAACCCTAATAATTTCCCAATGTTTTTTTTTTTTAATT